TAGGTTCGACAAAGGGATGTGCTTCCCGTGGTTGATGTATCCCAGATGATGGCAGCAGTGGTGTAGATTTAGGGTTCCGACAAAAGCTCCAATTATGGAGAAGAACGAGGGATGCGTTTCAGTGAAAGGGAATGAAGGATCTAGGGTAGAAACTTAGGTCTTCTTCCCGAGTTTAATTGAGTTTCATTAAACGAAAGAAAAAAAAGTGAAGGAAGATATGGAGAGAAAAGAAAGGGAGGGAAAGGAAATGATTAACTTTTTCGTGTTCCCGAGTGTGAAGGAAAGGAAAGGAAATGATTATTTAACCGTGTGTTGTTATCCTTATCATTGATTCTCTTCTCTTCAAATCTCTCCAATTTGGGAGGAAGATTAGGAGGGAAGATTTTCCTCTGATTTCCTTTCTTTTCTTCCTAAATCATTCCAAAAAAAAAAACTAGGGAACACGGTGGTTTACTTTTTCTCTCCGATTTCCTCCCTTTCTCTCCACTTCCCCCGTTAAATGAGACTCGGGAACGGAGTGTTAGAGGAGATGAAATAGTTTAGTGGGCCCCACATGTTTTATCAGTTTTTTTAATAATATATATAAATAATAAAAAAAACTTAAAAAAAACAAATGGTAATATAGTCTTTTTAAATGTGTTAGGGACGAAAACGTAACAAAATCATATTACAAGGACGGTCCAAGTACAAAAAAAAGTTAGGGACCAAATACACAATTTTGAACAAACTATAGGGAAGATTTCAGTAATTTGTTCTTTTTTTTTTTGAATGTTTTTTTAAGTATTTTAGGATTTAAATGTGTATGTTTTAAATTAATGTAATGTGTTTTTAATTTAATGTAATTTGTGTTTTATTTGAATTATGTTTTTAATTTAATCTAATAATATAAAAAAAGTTATTGTGGAGCGGTAACAATTTCCAAAGACTAATGGTTTGGTAGTGAGTTTGTAGTGGAGCTGACATGACGTTGAATTGACATCACTTTTTGAGTGGATTGGATATGACCACTCCTCTCAGCCTAAGAGAGATGGACGAGGCCTACGACGGTGGGTACCGAAAGTATCGAAAACGATTACTGCGCCTTTTTTATTTGATTGATTTTATTCAAAGGTTATGACTCGTAATGATTATCAAGATTTGATGTAATGATTATCAAGATTTGTTATAACTATAATTAATAATATAAAAACATCAGCAAAATGATACTTTTAAATGCACTTAACCGAGATAAACTAATTTTTATTAAGGAGATGGTTATATTTAAAACTCAATTCCTCAATATGGACATGGACATGACAAAACCACCAAAACCATTAATCGAGTCATACAAGGAATATTTAACTAGTTAATTTCAAGTATTTCTAGCTAAATCAACAAAACCGTAGAAAAGGCTTCAAAACCTTAAAACCACAAATCTATGAAACATTGTGGATGAAATACATTGAAGATAAGAGGGTTTCATACCTTAGAAGTAGAGGATCGAGAAAATAAAGAGAAAAACTCCAAAAATGTCACGTGCTTATTGCGTGTTGGAACCCGTTGAGAAAGAAAGGGACGTTTGAGGAGCGCATGACGTCAAATGACACCCAAACGCACGTTTTATCATCGAATTGGAAAAGGCGCACAGGGCGTCCTCGTCTCGCGGAACCCAATTTTTCTTTTTGACAGTTTTCGTCCCTAAATTATTCACCTACCCCGTTTAGAGCCAAATTTTTGCCCAAAAAACCTACTCTGTGAGTATATAAGAATTTGACATATCACGCACGATAAGGTAAAGGAAAATATAATGCAAAGTAATCGCCGTATGAAACTCCAAGTCACACTAATCACTTAAGGAAATCATCTAAGGATTTTGGAAAACGGAGAAAGCCATTTTAATTTCATAACACTTTATTTTAAATTGCAGATGTATTTAACTATTAACTATGTTTTTTATTTAGTTAAATATAAAAATAGATTTAATACACTTCATAGAAATTTAAAATAGTAATCTTAAAATTTTTTATAATATACAAATAACTAAGGTTAAAAGGTTTGTCCTAGTATATTATTTTATCGTTTTTTTATTTATTAAAATTTTAGTAACAACTAAAGTTATTTTTTCAAAAGTATAATTTAAACTTAAAATAAGAAAGAAAACATAGTAAGAGAGCTATGTAACATGTATAAAAGATAAAAGATAAGTTAATTGATTAAAAAATAACTTCTCAAAAATTAACCATTGAAAAAAAGTTGTAACAATATAAACAAAAATTGAAGGAACACATATATTTTTTTTAACCGGCAAATGGTTATATTAAAATACTGCAACCCCCACCTAACAAGGAACTAGAAGAGTGACATAAAAACAGTACATATAAGTTTTAAAGCAACACTATGCAATTACAAACATATTAATGGATCAATACTTCATTCTATCCGTTTAAATGTACACCAAACTCTCCTTTGCCTAATCCGGAAAAGACAAGTGATTTTATGTTGTCTGCCACCTTGGTTGGAGCAATACGATGATTCTTAAACAATCGAACACACCTTGATTTCCAAATCCACCATAGAGTGCCATAGAATATGCTAAGAAGTGATTTCCTCATCTTTACAATTCCCCTGCTCTTCTCACTTATTTATGTACCATTTGAACTCCTCCAATTTAATGATCCTACATCGCGAGTTTGGAGTTTTGACTCGGCTACTTTGTGTTTGCGTGCTAATTTGCTTTATGTTCAGACTACTACGTTTAGGGTTTTGGAAACTATGAAGGAAAACAGATATACCAAATGTAATGTCTTTTAAGAGGTTGTCATTATATGTCTTTTAAAAACATAGTTTTTTTTTTTTTTTATAATCAAGGTGTTAGAAGGATTCTTTATAGGATATGTTGGTAGATATTTCTTACTTATGGTTTGTCAATAGACATAGGAAAACAACTATCAAATGGGTTGACACTATGAAAATTTCGATTTTGTTTATTTCTTTGTAATCTCTTTCGTTCCCAATTTTTTAACTTTTAAATTTCAATTCATTTAGTTGTTTGAAAAAAGAAATATCTTTAGAAATTATAGCAGGACTGCTACAATAACCCAAACGATATCTTAAATTTCTTACATATGTTTAAAGGGATAATGACATAAGCCCTTAAATTTAGCAGAAACGTACGGCTTTACCCATTTGTAGATTTTAGGTTCACTAATACCAAATATTTGCAATTTTTTAAATAATTTTACCCTTTTGTGCACGTCTATTATATTAAAGGTCTTACGCTTTGCCAAAATATTTGATTTTACATTTTTTTTTGTTCTGTTTTAAAAAGCCTTAATTTTGGTTTTCTGATTCATTAAACCCTTAAGTTTGATAGAAATATGCAATTTTACCGAGTAAAATCTGCAAAAAGGGTAAAGTTGAAAAAAAATTATGAATATTCGATATTGATGAACCTAAAATCCTGAAAAATATAAATTTATATATTTCTATCAAACTTAAGAACTTTTATGTTATTATCTTTTTTTAAATAAATAATTGCAACCTCAAAATATATCAATACATTTTTCTTAAGATCGTTGAACATGTTCAATATAGAGCTTTTATAATTTAAAATTTTAGACGTTTAAAAATATTTGAAAAAGTAAGTTTCTATGCTTTTAAGAATTTTTAGTTTATAATTTTTATATAGTTTTACGTATTTAAAACTAACAACTATTTAAAAAAAAATACTCATATATAAATAAAAAAAATATAACTTTTATCAAATATTTATTAAATATATAGATATATATAGACAGATAAAGGTTTAGGATTAGACTTTTCTTTTTAAAATATGAAAGTAAAAGCATGAGCTGTATTTTCAAGTCGTCTACGTGATTTGTCATTATATTTTTGTTGTTTTTCAACCCAAATCTTTGACTTTAGTCTTTCCTTTTCCCTTTTTTTATTTTTTAAAAAAATATTTCTTTTAATTTTGTCAAATATCCAACAAGATCTCCGGTTCTCCATTAATTTCCTCCTCCTTTTATTTAAATACTTTCCAATTTTCATTTTTTATTTTGATCGAGTATCTATAAATAAATGCTTACATTATTATTTATTAACATTATTTTAGAACATTAATTAACTAATAAAATATTTCAAATAACTATATAATAATTACAAAGTGCAAAAAATATCTGTCTGTTTGACTTTAAACGTACATCCTTCATTAATGAAGGGTCATTTTCAATACACAGGTTGTTGCAGACTTTATTTTTATTGAAGTATCTAGGATTTTAGTAACACACCCAATATTAAATTTAGATTAAGGTCATACAAAAGAGCTATAACATTGGTTACAAAACACTTATTAAGAGTTATGTTTGGAAGTAACTAAAAAGACTTTACGAAGCTAGAAACTTTTTCAGTAATATAATATAGCATAACAATTAGTTAATAACTTTAAAATAAAGTTAAAGAAAAGGGTAAATCTTTTTGTAGAAAGCCGAAAAAAATAAATTGTAAATACAGATGGGGAATTATTATTTAATGCATTCTCATTTCCACCAGCGGTTCCTCTCTCTCTCTCTCTCTCTCTCTCTCTCTGCATTAAACCTTGACTGGGTTCTCTCTCTCTCTAGAAAAGAGCCACCATCATCGAGCTAGCCCACTAGAAAAGAATGAAAACAAACTCACCTCTTTCAATACCAAACAACCCATTTCTCAAAGTCAATTTAATACTTCTCTCGATCTGTGTTGCCTTTTAATGTTATCTCCTTTTTCTTAACTCTTCAAATTTCAAAAACGGTGCCAGATTGAAACCCTTGTTCACAATTTCGTCATTTCTGCTGCCTCTTTCCGTCTTGCTTGGTATGTGACGCAATCCGGAGTGAGAAAAATAATGAGTTTGGAACTCAGATCAAGGAATCTCCATTTCTCAAATGGGATATCTCGATAAGCCCTGAAATTTTACCAAATTGTGCACCTTTTTTCGTGTTCTTCTTCGGTGTTTCTGTGTTTCAGTTTATATATAATCCGAGATGGTTGCTGTATCGGAGGTATGGGTACTTGTGATTATACTTCTTGTGTTTTCTCTTCAAAGTCAGGTTCTTGTGATTTCACAGAATGTGACATGCAATTCCGATGACCTGAGAGGATTACGGGGTTTCATGAGCGGATTGGAATCGCCAATTGTCGGGTGGTGGCCTACGAATTCGTCGTCTTTTCCCTCTTTTAATTGCTGCAACTGGGTAGGCATCACTTGCAATTCCTCTTCTGGTAGGATTGTTGCATTAGAACTCCAAAAGAAAAGATTAACTGGTAATTTCTCCGATTCGCTTTCTAATTTAGATCAGCTTCAAACCCTTAATCTTTCACGCAATTTCCTTAAAGGCCCTCTTCCAATTTCCATTTTTCATCTTTCCCATTTGAAAGTGCTTGATTTGAGTTGTAATCGGTTCAATGGGGTTTTACCGGTTAACGTCAATCTGCCTGCACTTGAAGAATTAGACATATCTGATAATACCTTCAGGGGTTTCCTCCCTTCTGGTTTATGTGTCAACTCCACCGGAATTCGTGTTCTTAGATTTGCTGTGAATTACTTCAGCGGAACTATTCCGCTTGAATTCGAGAATTGCACTTTCCTTCAACATCTGTGCGTGGCTTCCAATCTTCTTTCAGGGGATATACCGGAGTTCTTACTCAGATTACCAAGATTGCGGGAATTAGCTCTTCAGGATAACAGGTTCATCGCCATCAACGGAATCGGTAATTCCTTCAGTCATCTGGTTCGTTTGGATATTTCATCCAACAGGCTCTCAGGAAGTATACCCGATTTCTTCCGTAGCTTTCCAAATTTAAGTTATTTCTCAGCCCATTCCAACAATCTGTCCGGAGGAATTCCCCCATCGTTGTCAAATTCACAGTCAATTTCTTCCCTCAGTTTGAGAAACAATTCTTTAAATGGTTTAATCGATTTCAACTGTTCCTTGATGGTTAATCTTACCTCACTTGATCTGGGCACAAATCACTTTTCGGGTACAATACCTGATAACCTTGCATCTTGCCAAAACTTAAAAGCTTTAAATCTCGCCAGGAACAGACTCATAGGCCAAGTCCCAGAAACTTTCAAGAATTTTCCTTCTCTTTCTTACCTTTCACTTTCTAATTGTAGTCTCACTAACCTCTCAAACTCTCTCAAAGTCCTCCAACACCTCCCAAATCTGACCGTTTTGGTTCTCACCATGAACTTCCATACCGAAGAGCTCCCACCTGATGATCATCTACAGTTCAAAGCACTCAAAGCTCTTGTAATCGCCAATTGCAGGCTCACAGGTAGCATTCCGCCATGGCTGAACGGTTTATCACAGTTGCAGTTACTGGATTTGTCATGGAACCACTTGACGGGTTCAATTCCGGCTTCTTTGGGTGATTTTAGGTCTCTTTTTTACTTGGATTTATCAAACAATTCCTTGTCGGGAGAGATTCCCAAAAGTCTAGCGCAATTACAGAGCCTGATTTCACGAGATATTTCATTAGAAGAACCCTCACCGGATTTCCCGTTCTTCAAAAGAAGAAACATGAGCTCTAGAGGATCAGCGGTGCAGTACAATCAGATCATGAGCTTTCCACCGTCAATTGACCTAAGCAGCAACCTCCTCTCCGGCGAAATACCCCCTGAATTTGGCAACTTGAAAAAACTTCACGTTTTGGATCTGAAACAGAACCATTTATCAGGTAGGATTCCGAGTTCTTTATCAGGGATGAGAATGGTGGAGACGCTTGATTTGTCATACAATAATCTCACCGGAACAATCCCTCCATCTTTGGTGAATCTAAGTTTTTTATCCAAATTCAGTGTCGCTCACAATAATCTCAGGGGTTTTGTCCCTAATGGAGGTCAATTTTTAACGTTTACAAACTCAAGCTTTGAGGGAAATCCCGGTTTATGTGGGGATGGGCGTGGAGTTTACACCTGTAACACTAGAAGACTCCCTGTATCATCGATTAGAAAATCAAAGAAAAATATCGGGAAAATTGTTGGTATGGCTATTGGGATTTGTTTCGGGACATTATTTCTTCTCGCTCTGATGTTCATGGTGGTTGTTCGTGTAACCAGTCGACAAGAAGTCGACCCAGAAAGAGACGAAGAAGATGAAGACGATGATGGAAACAAAAACTTGGAAGAATCAAAACTAGTTCTATTCCACAACAACAAATCAATGTCAATCGACGATCTTCTGAAATCAACCAACTCTTTCGATCAATCAAACATAATCGGATGTGGCGGTTTCGGTCTCGTATTCAAAGCCACACTTCCCGATAACCGGAAAGTCGCCATTAAACGTCTCTCCGGCGACTGTGGTCAAGTTGATCGCGAGTTTCAGGCGGAAGTGGAAACCCTCTCGAGAGCACAACACCCGAATCTTGTCCTCCTTCAAGGCTATTGCAAACACAAAAACGAAAGACTTCTTATATACTCATTCATGGAAAACGGAAGCTTAGACTATTGGCTACATGAAAAACCAGATGGCCGATCAATTCTTGACTGGAACACTCGCCGGAAAATAGCTCAGGGAGCCATTAGAGGCCTGGCGTATCTCCACCAATCTTGTGATCCCCATATCCTTCATCGTGATATTAAATCAAGCAACATTCTTCTAGATGAAGATTTTGAAGCCCATTTAGCTGATTTTGGTCTTGCAAGATTGATTCTACCTTATGATACTCATGTAACGACTGATCTTGTTGGGACATTGGGATACATTCCACCTGAATATGGTCAAGCTTCTGTTGCGTCTTACAAAGGAGATGTTTATAGTTTTGGGGTTGTTCTTTTGGAGCTTTTGACAGGGAAGAGACCCATGGATATGTGTAAGCCTAAAGGGAGTAGAGATTTGATTTCATGGGTGATGCAAATGAAGATGGAAAAAAGGGAGAGTGAAGTGATTGATTCGTTTATTTTTAATAAAGATCAAGATAAGGAGATGTTATTGGCTCTTGAGATTGCATGTGTTTGTTTAAATGAATCACCGAAGTTAAGGCCTTCGACTCAGGAGTTGCTTTCTTGGCTCGATAATCTTCAACTCAAAACACAGTAATTACATAATATGTTGGGGTGTAAATATCATATACATTTGAATTCAAGTAAAGTTTTAAAGATTTTCATTTTATTTTTTTTTTTATTTTTTATTATTGAGTATTGTTTGTTTGTTATTTGTGTCGATTTCTGTTTTTGGGTTGTGGAATTTGATCTCTAGTGGTGGCGGGTTCATTAAAAGGTACGATTTTTCTTGCAAATGTGATTCCAAAGGTGGCGGGTCAACGTAAACACCCTGGTTTGGCGGAAATTAAAGTCAAACTTTTGACCAGAAAAGTCACATGCATCTTTCAAATGTATACCTTCATCCACACGACTAAAGTACAATATTAATGGTTTTATATCGTCCATAAAAATACCACCGATTTAGGCCATCTACATTGATTGAATGTCAACTTGCAAGGCTATCCGATATGACTAAATTTGGATAAATAGCTATTATAATATAGTTACTTTTTAACAAGATGCAAAAGTAGAACATCGTCTTTGTAAGTTTGAAAATTTCAAATATATAAGGAAGTTTTGACTTTCATTGTTTTCAACTTTGTTTAGTAGAACATCATCTTTGTAATTTTGAAAATTTCAAATCTATAAGGAAGTTTTGAGTTTCATTATTATCAACTTTGTTTTGCTTTTCTGTTTCCCTTATTTTCTTACCTAAGGGTCACTTATCATCAATCTTCTTTCTTGCTACTCATTTGTAATTTTGAAAATTTCAAACCATGAGGAAGTTTCCACTTTCATGTGTTTTCAACTTTGTCGTTGTTTGTCTATTTCTCTCTTATTTTCTTCCTTAAATCACTTGTCGTACTTCTCTCCTTTCTTGCTACATTTTAAGCATTTCTTTTTCCTTTTTATAGTTCTTTTTCTTTGTCGGTTGAAAAAATATGAATTTATATCATTTTAATGGATATATAATACGGACAATAAATTCGAAATTGATTACGAATAAGAATTTGGTAACTCAACACCTTTGCACTCATTGTAGTTCAAACCTTTCAGATTTTGAAGAATCTTTTATCAAAAAATATAGTTTGGAAACTTTTTTTTTTTTTTTGACAAAAACCAAAATTCAAAAGATAAATTTTAAACTAGTCTGGATTTTTTTTTTTAACTATTTACGAAGTTTGCAAGAAATATAAGATTATTTTGTTGTCTATTTATGGAAATAGTGATTTTGCTCAATCTACTCCTTTCATTTATAAATTAATTAATTTATATTTATAATTACAGTGTATTTATTAAATTAAATTAAAATTTAATTCACTTAAACTATATTATAATTACTAGGTGTGAGACCCGTGTATTACACGAGTTTATTAGAAATAAAAATTTAATAACAATATATAAATATGAAATATTTTATAATGTAATACTTTACATAACAAAATGTAATCTTCTGAAAATTTGCAAAAGAAATTAAATCTTTTGAAGTATTAATGAGAATTTATTACCAAATTAATAGGATGGTTTTATTTCCTTATAAAACCCATTATAATTTTATGGAATTTTATTTTAAGAAAATGGAAATCCCTTAAAAATGACAAGTGGAAAATAAAATTTCTAAAATTCTTACAAAATGACAAGTGTCAAAATGAAGGAGAAAATAACATGTGACAAAAAAAACCTTCATTTATTAAAGAGGATGATGAACTACACAACAAGATATCATCTTGTCCATCGATCTTCCCCCTTTTTAACAACCGCTTGTTTGATCCTACTATAAGTGATTGAATAGAATAATTTGCAGCAATTATTTGGTTCCTATCTAATATCTATTTGTATTATAGTAAACTAGGTGTCATACCCATGTATTATATGGGTTTATTAAAAAAAAAAATTAAATTATAAAATTTTAACAATTTGAAAATTTTGAATTTATAAGAAAAATGACAAAATTTTTGAATTATTAAAATTAATGAGACTTTATACCAATTATAATAAAATAAAATTTATACAAATTATAAGATGATATATTTTACGTATTTATTTGAATCAGCGATTATAATTTTATATATAACTAAAAAATATCTTTTAGTTAATAAGTTATTTAAAATTATTAATTAATAGTTTTGAGTTTTAACTTAGAAAGTTTAATCAATTTTCTAACCGTGGTTCTCACGGGTTATAAACTAGTACCTTATATATATTACCTTACATATTAAATATGGAATTTTAATTTAATAAAATGAAAAATACAATAAAATAAAGTGAAAAATAAAAAATTTAAAAATTCCAGAAAATGACATGTTAAATGAAGAAGAACAAAACATGTGAAAAAAAAAAAACTTTCGTTTATTAGGATAGATTATAAACACACATAAGAAGTGAAATACAAATAAGGAAAAAAAAATAGTAGCTCCTATAGATTACTAGAATAATAAAAAAGACTAGGTTCCTAAAAGCTAGTTTGCTATCGGTTTTTAAACTAGATTTCTAGTTTCAACTTCTATATTTTTGAACCGTTAGTCCGTTTTGGCTTTTGCGGTTGCTATGGATTATATGTATTAATCGTTGATTCTCCGTCATCGCCAATGAGATTTAAGTGCAGGGAGCATAAGCTTGCATAAGAAAAGTAAAATAGAAAGGGGAGAGACATAAGTTGCATAAAGGATGGAGATAAATAAATAATGAATGGGAAAGAAAAGAGATGCTTTATATAAGATTTTTTTTGTCCATGTTTCTTTATCGTGCCTGTTTCATTCTTTTGGGTACGATTAAAATCTTAATAATTATTTTCATATGACTTGGTCAATAACACATTTTGTTCTTGCTCCATCACTATTAAACATCCTTTTGAAAATCTTATTTTATTTTGTCTAGTTATGCTTCATCCGCCAAATGCTAAGTTAATGGTGTCCACCCGCTACACTTCTTATATGCATTTGTGATCCTTCAGGATACAAGACAAACTTTGCAAAAGAAAAAAATATTAAAATAGTGTTATTTTATTAGTTGGAGTTTTATGATTAAATTAATGGAAAATAACATATTAGCCATATAATGTATCCCATAATTATTTAGTCCTTTAATTTATTTGTGTGCATTATGAGAGAATAAAGTTGTTAGTTTCTTCTCTTTTTAGTCACTCCAACTTTTTTTAGCCGGTTAATAGCCACACATAAGCAAATTAAACCACACATGACCTCTACGTATAATTTTATTTTAAAAACTAAGTGGACACTTATGTTTTCTAATCTAACTCACTCAATTTCACCACATTCCTTCGTAGGCTTCTTTTTTTTTTTTTTTTTTTTTTTTTTTTGCAACTATGGGGACCATTAAACCTTGGAGCACGCTCTCCAAGATAGGGATGGCAAAAAAGCCCGAACTCGACGGGGAAACCCGATCATTTCGGGTCGGATAACGGGTCGTTATCGGGTTTTTTATTGGGTTCGGGGCAGGGAGTGAGTTATCCTCGCCCCGCCCCGATATATATATATATATATATATATATATATATATATATATATATATATATATATATATATATATATATATATATGGGAAAAGTGAATATACCCTTAAGGGTATGTAAGCTTAGGTACCCAAACCCACTATAATTAGTTGTTTTGTTTGATATATTCATTATAATGTTATTAAACTTCAACCTTAACTTGATTTACTTTGAAGATTTTCGAAATTTCACTATTGTTTTCCTCTTATATCACTTCTTTTGTCGAACACCTATTAGGCTATATATATTAGAGTTGAGAATGAAAATTATGTAAGAGGAAGATAAATGTGAAATTTATAGAAATCCTAGAAGTAAATCAAGTTAGAAGTTGAATTATAAGAACATTGGACAATTACAATGTATACATATGATACAAATCAACATAGTATAGTGAGTTTGCGTACCTAAGCTTATATACCCTTAAGGGTATATTCACTTTTCCATATACATATATATATATATATATATATATATATATATATATATATATATATATATATATATATATATATATATATATATATATATATATATATATATATGTTTAAAATGTTTTGATGTTAATTGCATGCGTTCAAAGATAAAATACTTATCGTGGACAATCTTTTTAGTCATTAACAGTCTGGTGTGAATGTTCATTTTTTTTTTTTTTTTTTTTTTATTTTTTGACGTATTACACTAAACTTAAATCAAATAATTTTTAATATAACGTCAATTTTATTTTATTAAAGTGATGCATTATATTTTTAATTTAAAAGAGATGCTATAACATGTATTTTTTATAAGATATCGGGGTACCCTAAAACGGAAGAAATATATCGTTATGAATTGTTGTAAACCCGATAAGATACCCGAAACCTGACGGGAAAACCCGAAACCCAATGGGGCGCCCCGATAAGATACCCGAAAAATATCGGGGCGGGTTTGGGAAACTATGACCCGCCCCGTTGCCATTCCTACTCTAAGACCTTCCACAAAGTTATTCCTTTCAAGAAGTTAACAAAATTCCTTGCAGACAATGGCTTATGGTTGCTCTTACCTCACGACAACATGTTCAAGAAATCCAACCATGGCAACGAATCTCACAAGTATTTCAACAAATACTCGGTGGACGACGCCCATATTCGTCATAGAGCTGCCATGGAAGCTTTTGCTGCTAAGCTCTTCGCCACTATTTCCTCCTTGAAAGCTATGTACGCAAAGTTAAATTGTAACATCCCAAAAATCAAAATAAAAATTTTCATTTTTAATTAAAGTAAAGTAATTGTTTCAAACCAACACCCAAGTCATAAGAAACCAACGTCAAGTACAAATATTTCTAAATCAATGTATCATAATATCTCCAAAACATGTTGCCCAAGGATGTGTACGCTCATGCATTTGTTTTCCTCCGATCATCTAAAGTACCTGAAACATAACACTTCAACCGTAAGTTAAAACTTAGTGAGTTCTCCAAAATACTACCACACAAACATATAACAACATGCATACTAGGCCTACAACCATCAGGCTGGATTGCCCCTGATCCCACAATATGAGTCTAG